AGAGATTTCTGGGCAATGTGCTAGACTTGCCTAATGTTAGTGACTGTTTACTTGACTGTTCTGCTGGGTTATACATTTTTTAAATCAAATAAACGGATCAAGTCATCTTTCACCTGCCCTCATTAATTTTGGGAAATCTAAAATTTTCCAAACCCAAATTTGAGCTGAAGGTTGAAATTTTCTGTGTGGATCACAAAGCATGTAGGTAATAATTGTTGCAAATTTGGGGACGTTGCAGTGACTTCTAAAAGAGAAATCATGAAAAAACCGTTTGTTCATAAATTTCTGGCCACTACTGTAGGTACTCTTTAGCATATGCTAGATTATCTTGCAAGGAGAACCTTTTTCCTGCCAAAGGTTCCTATTAGGACCCTAGAGGTCAATCTTCCGAATTCGCTGCACTTTTACTTGATTTTGTCTAAAAGCATGGGAGCTTCTCTAAATTTTTTTTCGCTTGTGCTCGCTGGTACATGTCATATTTTATTAAGTAATTTCGCTATGGGATGCGCCATTCATTCGCCTGTGGTGCGCAGTCGCAGTTGTAGTTGAAAGTATGTCCTCCTTTGCCACTTTGTCATGCCTTTGCACCTTTAAATTTTGTGGTTGATCCTTGAGTTTACCTTCCTCCCCTTCCGTTGGCCAAATACGAGCCCTTCGTTATTCTTTGACGGTTGACCCTCGCCGTGAGCAGTGTATCAGTGAATCGTATTGGCCTCCTGCACCGTTGGCGGACATTGAAATTGGTAGAGGTTTGGCAAGTGGTGCAGCTGATGATTTGAGAGTGGCAAAGTTACTCTTATTGTACGGTGCTTTGTCATTGTTCGGACAAAAGGTTTCAGTGTTGAGAAAGTAGAATATTGTCTTGCTAGCTTCGAGCTTCATCTTCTCTAAATGAATTTGACGACTGTAATTTTTGTTCAGCTGTTGTGCGGACAGTAAATAAGCACTTCATGAAATTATGTTTTTGCTCAGTTGCGTTCATGTTGAAAAGAGGCTGTTGAGTTTGAGCTGCATTTCCTTACTGACTCATTACTCAACCGCTATTCGTCTCGGGCACACCAGAAACGCAGGTCACACATCTTCCATGCCGCTCTGCTCCGGGTTCTTCAGCGCCACAACTGGCCGTACAATTTTACGAGAGGGTCTCCCATCGGGTGGGGGCCTGCCTCTGGGCCTTGTTTTTTTTTTCATTGAAGACCAATTAGTCACTCTCTCCGTCCAGCGATCATCGTTTAGTCTAGTCACATGGCCGGCCCACCTCCGCTTGGAATTGTAGATGGCATCGACGACATCCTTCACTAGCAAACCCTCAACTTCATCAGTTATGACGAACGGCTCTCCGATTATCGGAGAAGGCCAATACATTCATGAGTATAGGCTACTCGAAAGGGAAATGTCTGCTCAATCAGTTACCCAAATTTCAACACTCTTATAACGGCGCTTTTATAATCCTGGGACAAAATTGATGAAAAATACCTGCCTGCTATTTGCCATGCGTACGCCAAATGTTTAAAGAACTGCGTAAGGCCGATGTCAGGCTTTGCGAATCGCACGATTCGCTAGCGTCCGCGGTCGCGTAGCGGTACCAGCCAATTGAGTGATTCACTTGCGCGTCGCGACTGCAAACGCTTGCGAATCCCATGATTCGCAAACTATGACATCGGCCTAAAGGTTAGAATCGTTGATTATGAAAACTGTTTATACGTTTTGAATTGTCATCTTTTCTACAGATAATATTCATAATTAGAATTGATTTCTGAAAGCTAGCCTCGAGATGCCAACAAAATATTGGTGCACCAATAATTTTTCCCCACCCTGTAGTTTCCTTCGTGATTAAGAGCTATGTAATTTGAAAGCCAAATTCTAACAAGGGGGTCTTTCAGGACATGGGGCGGTTTTTCAGAATGGTTCCCTGAGTACCTTGTGCAGAGGCTGATGTGGGGAATATAGAACCATGGTCCAATCTTCCTGAACGCCCTCAGAAATGCCAAAACAGCGGGGAAGAAATATCCAAAGTTCGATCCTTCGTGATGACAAATTTTTGCAATTTATCTCGGCGCCTCCACATTGCCGCAGAGCACATTGACATCTGATCCCGACGATGCCGCCATTTGTCGGCAGTCTAAAGGCGCCCAACTAAAATGCAAAAATTTGTCATCACCAGGGATCGAACTCTGGACCATTTCTTCACCACTGTTTTGTTGGGAGGCGTTCAGGAAAAATAGGTATGGTTCTGTGCTCCTCGTATGAGCCCCTACAACCTGCGGAGAACCACTTCGGGAAAGCGCTCCATGTCCTGAAAATCTCTTGTCAGAGGCTGGGCAAAGCAAGATTGAGAACGATGCTTTTCCCGGGTGTGTGCACTTACCTTGAACTCTTTCCATTAGCTCCACATCTTTTTTCTTATAATTACAAAAAAAAACAAAGTATCGCATTCTAGTTGGCGTTACGTGTGTCTTGTATGGCCTGATCAGGATATCCCTGCCATTCACGTTTGAGCGAAGAAGAATGGATGACTGGTTAGCGAAATTCCTTGATGAGGGTCAAATTAGGAGGTCATAGAGAAGCACGACCCACACCACCCTCCGTTTGCACCGTGCTGGTTGGGCCGTCGGAACAGTCGTAGTCGATGCTACTGCTGCCGTCTGTAGACTAGCAATAGAGCTACTTCATTTCAACCACGAATGCCCTTNATAGGCCCATCAGAAAAGCAGATGTCGCTTCCCTCAGTTGCTCAGTTTTCATTCCTAGCGATTTGCTCTTTCTGTGAAAGAGGGAGACCTCTTTGTGAGATAGACATTTTCTCTGATGCTGATTGCAATTCAGGGAACTCCTCAGCACCGTAGGATTCGCAGTCGAAGTACCAGAAGTTCATATTGATCCAGTTACAGGCTTGTCTGGATCGGGACCAAGCTATGTGAGTTCAACTTCAGTTTTGCTTTCCTGAAATAAATGTGATCTTAGAAAAATTATGCGCACTGTTGCAGCAGGGGTGGGAAAGGAGAAGGGGGCAAAGTGACAGTTGACGCGACGTGTGCCCATTGGTGCCCTTCTCAGCGATCTGGTGTACAACTGCCCCTTCCTACTCTGATGGAACCGCGCAGTGGAAAGAAGCTACATACATAAGGAACGTAACTTAAGCAACACCCTCCAATCAAATTGGTGGGGTAACAGCGGATTATGATCAAAGTGTGGACGCCGAATTGACCGAAAGTGAAAAAAAAGCAAGAGGAATGGCCAATGAGCCTTCAACGAAGAACCTATTTTTTCCCTCTAGCAGAGAAAGAAGCGCGTCCAAATTAGCCGCTACGTCATAATCCTCGTTGCGTGGTTACGCGCGAGATAACTCGTCCATTAGCTCACATCTGCTCTCACTAGCTCATTTTGTAGGGTCCTAGCACCTTTCTCGTGTGGTTTTGAGTCGCGACAACGGCTCTGCAATAATCGTGGGCAACTCTATCTCTTACATACACGCAGTAAATTATTCCACACCTCCGCCTCATTTGAAATACTTCAGTGCGATATGAGAGACAACGTTCTTCCATGAAAGCAAACTTTCCCAAATGACTACGGATTTTGGTACTGAGGCAGCATTGCTGCCAACTTGAACCCTATAAACACGTTGGCGACCGTGTGGTGTGATGTCATGCCACACTTTTTCGGTCTTGTGGAACCGTGTGACATGATGTCATGTCACAGTCTCGTTTAAGATGGTTTTCAAACTTTCTAGGTAACTCCTTTAGGCCGATGTCAGACTTTGCGAATCGCGCGAATCGCTAGCGTCTGCGGTCACGTCGCGGCCAGTGAGTCACTCAATTGGCTGGTACCGCAACGCGACCGCGGACGCTAGCGAATCGCACGATTCGCAAAGTCTGACATCGGCCCTATCTAGTGTGTATGCCACGCCACTCGGCGCAAGGATTGATAATTACGAATGCCACCCAAGTATTTCGATGGCTCCTCACACGGCATATAGCGCCGGTATCAGCTGTGCTGCTTGAACGGATGAGTGCAGTGACGAGATCCACTTTCTATCCAAGGGAATTGAACAAAACTTTGTCAACTGGCTACATTTGGCGCAACTTCTGAATCCTATCGTAGATGAAAAGCATGTGCGCAGTTTCGCCCGATTAGACACGTTCTCTCGCGCGAACATTCAGACTCGCATGCTCGAGCCGTCTGTGTCTCCGCCCATAGCGTGCGTTGAGGATCTCTCAACGTGCCGTTGAGAGCTGCGCAACGCACGGTTGACTCTGGACCCAACACCATTCCTCTCGAGTCTTTTAACCTGTTATACGGACGGTCTTAATTGAGATGCACACCAGCGGGAAATTTTCCGAATCTCAAGAAAAATTAGTCATATAAGTAATAAGCATGCGAAGTTTGGAAAATACAGAGGGGTGTGGAAACCATTAGCTCTCCTTCCGCCTCGATTTTGTTGCATAAAATGAAATTCTTTCAACTGTTTGTGGCTTTTCTTTACCTAACACTGTTTTCCTTTCATGCGCTTGTGCTCTGTTCTTGGACGTTTCAGTGTTATAATCGAATAGAGCCGAACATCATGTGGCATGGCATTACACGTTCAAGAGAGCGACATCTAGACCGCCTCTAAAGGAAACTAAATTTCGAAGAATATCAAACCTTAAGGATTTAAGAAGGACTTGCTTGCCAGCATTGCGTAGTTGTAACATAATTCCATGCCGCGAACAACTACTGCTAAGAACTCCCATCCCAAGTAGACTTATTTATTGAGGGGAATCGCTCAGACAATGACGGTGATTTGTATCCGCACAGCTAGCACTTGTATGTGGCCCTTCTCATTGATGACGTTTCAACTTCTGCTGGCATTCTGCTATGTGTTTCTCATCAAGAGAACTACTTCAGAAAGGCTGTTCGCACTTATGGAATTCTAGTTTTTTTGATTATGTCACTCCTCAATGAGGAACAGTGGAAGAACATTGAGTTTTCAGATAATTCTTGGGGAACTTTACCAGCAGCTAATGCACCAGGTACTGAGCCTCTACTTATCACATGTAATCGTCTTCGTCTTTTTACTTGTTTCTCTATCTGGCTGTCCACCTATTTGTTCGCTTGTTTGTTTGTTTATTTGTCTGTCGCACAAATGTACCCTTCATGAAGACCCTCATCTACATATACAGAGACTGCTTCGAGTTTGAAGTGGTGAGAAAAACGAAGAACCGCTAATCACAATTACTTAGTGGCACGCTCCACGATCAGGTGAGCTCGCCTGTTCCATCCAGGGGTAGTAGGCCGGTGGACAAGCGTTGATGTCGGGCCCCTTTTGCGGCTTGAAAATACGTGACAAAGGCGCAAGGAGCTCGTACAGCCCGCAACCCACACCTTCATCCGCAAGCTCCACCGTTCCCTTTCAATTACCACGTGGCGCTTCTTGAAAAGCGCGGGGGCATTTGAGGCAGTGGTCCCAGCGCAATCCAATGTTATTGACACTGGAGCAAGTAGAGTTAGGTTCGTGAGACTCCCAGCTCGCTTCTTCTCTATCCCAAGGTGGAATGTGGCTGAAATAGGGGGGGGTCTCTGTACGGGGCGTAATCGGCGATTTCGTTTGCTTTCCTCGTCTTTTACAGACCACCTCCCACCTATAGCTTCATAACTGAACGCTTTTCCACACCTATTTTATCGCGAATCTTGTCTTTAATTCGAGACCCGGCCACGGTGGGCGTAGCACGTGCCAAAATGATCGATCAGAGAGGCGAATTTAACACGGTCCCAGAATAGTCCAGAGACCGAAAATAGGTAACGTGTGTATAGGGTAGCAAGATCGGATATGCAAAAACCATAAGTGCTGGGTAAGCGTTCTACGATGAGATGTGCTTGTTGAATCATTTATTGGCTGTGACGACACTGAAAAGAGAAAGAAAAAGTTGGTCGACGCTACAAGTAATCAGTACAAGAACACGGGTCGAAGTGGCAATATGCAGTGGGACCCATAGGTGTGTTCTCGGACGCTGATCTTGAATCTGCTTTCCAAATCCACCGATCAATTTTCTGTACGGAGTTATGAACGAAATAGAGCGGCCGTAGTGGTCCGGGATCACGGGCGAGAAGTCGTAGGATCGATTCCCTGAAGGGTGATTTGGCCAAAAATTTGCACCTGTAGGTAATTTCATCTTGGCAACATGAATACTACACTTGGCTGCCGCAAAACGTCTGGTAAGAGTTTTGCGGGCTTGCCAGACGTTACCAGACGTTTTGCGGGCTTCATGTGCAGTCGTTAGCGAGTAGCGTCCAAATAAAAAGCACTTGCAAACTCTTCCTGCAGGCCATTGATATAAGCGAGCTTTGATCAAAGAACGTAGTTGGGAGCTTTTTTCCACCCATGTTGCTTCAAAGGAGAAAGGGAGAAGTCAGGAAATCAATCCTGCAACCTCTCTCCAGTGAGTCTGGTCCAGTACCTATGCTAAATTTTGCTTCATAACTCCGTTCAAAAAATCGAGTGGCAGATTTGGAAGGCAGATTCGAGATCAGCCTCCAAATAAGCATCGATAATTGTAGGTCTCATTGCCTATAGCCACTTCACCCCATCATACTTACCTGGTAAGTTGCATTTGACGTAGGCAAGACTGCCCTCACTGGGTTGAGTGCGTATATTAAGCAGAAAGGATATTTTAGCGATGCTCACATTTTTTTTTGAGAGAGAATCAAAATTCTGGGGAAAATGCTGCAAAGCTAGCAAAGGAGTGTACCAAAGGGAAACCAAGAGAAAGTGAGAAAGGATGAAAGTCGAGGCTGTGCACAAACACGGTTTCATTGTAAGACCATAAGGCTTACTGATGCGACTCATCGACCTCTACGTTTACAACTAATTTTATTTCACTAACAGTTACTTCAAGGGGCGCAAGTGGTGTAGTGGCAAGTGGCACCTTTACAACGCGCGCAGTCCGGGGATCGAATCCTGGGTCGCGTTTCGCCCGGGCCAACCAAGCCTTCCATCCATCTGGGATCGGCTAATTGGTACCACACCTATCTGGGAGGACAAAAACACTGACTTGTACATCGGCTGGGCCCCGCAAGTCATTGCATTGGCCACATCACATTTAAACGCCACCACGAATGTACAAATGGAAGTAGAATGCGTGCCGCATCCAGAGTCACCCCTGCGTTGCGCAGTTTTCAACGGTCACGTTGCGCAGTTTCGCCCGGTTAGACACGTTCTCTCGCGCTAACATTCACACTCGCATGCTCGAGCCGTCTGCGTCTCCGCACATACAGCGTGCGTTGAGGATCTCTCAACGTGCCGTTGCGAACTGCGCAACGCAGGGTTGACTCTGGCCGCATCCCAAAAAGGGATTGATAAACGGCAAAAGCTTCGACCTTTATCCTTTATCCAGTTACTTTGATTTCTTCGAGTTAAATGTTACAAGATGCATCGTTCTCATGGTGTATTCCATTCCGCAGATATAAGGTGAAAGACCCTTGTCGTGTTCACTGTGTCGTCTCAAAAGGCACTCATATATTTTTTTATTGGACTTATGCGTACATATTTACGCAATCCTATTTATAGTTCCTCAAGAACATTCCATACCGAGGGTTTGAGTATGTTGCCTCTTTCACCACATTGAAGAATCTTTCTGAACACTGTACTATGTTGTGAGTCTACGCAGACATCTTCATCATCTTCTTTACTATTGACACAAAGTTGCGAATGTTGTGGATGTAGAATGCGAGCCGTTAACTTCTTATTTGTGGATCGTTCTTCAGTGAGCAGGAACAATCATGAATGAAAACCTCTCCCTCCTACTGATGAGATTAAAATACTTCACTCTGTGGTTATGGCAGATTGTGGTAGGCGAAAACACATGGTGTACGCAATTTTTTGAATTTAATTTTGCGCATAATGCTCCGACGATACTATCGCTAAACTAGAAATGTTCCAAGGCAGGGAGTGTGCCAAAAATTGCATGTAGACCGCAGTCATCAAGGCATATTCAGCGCCGAAATCACGAGTGAAATCAAAGGTATCGCTTTCCAAGTTTTGGGCTCTTTCCTTGGTTTTTATTGCTGTTTCTCTAGGCACTCTACCTTCATTTCCAGTAACAACCGATATATCGTACCCTTTGCCTCTAAGCCCCTCTCCCAACCTCATGATTTCATCAGCGGTTAAATATCTTGAAAGTAGAGCAAAGATGTTCAGACCACCAGGCAGAACAAATAGACAGATAGTGCGATAGACGAGGCGTTAAAGGAAGCGATTACGGTAAAGAGGGAGCACATCTGGGAAACACATCACCCACACAAAGCAGTTACTTGGCTGCTGAAGAGGCGAAGTGTGGCGCTTTCACAACGAAAGGTGCGCTGGTTGCTAAGCAGAACTTCGGAAGCGCTCCGCCCCAAAAGCGCTCCGCCCACAAGTTTACTTGTTGATTTGGACGAGCTGCATGGCTAGTAGTGGCGCAAAGAGGCAGTTCGATTAAAGCGCGATTGGCAATGGTGCCGTCAAACACGTTGCGGTGAACTCGTTCATGATTCCACTTTCTGAGCTATTACCTGTTGGTGAATGAAAACCAACGGCCAAGAAAGGGGTCCAGTTTTGCGCTTTCTTGACGGATTTTTTTTTTGGCTTTCTCTTCGCTGGTGTACCGTTGAGCACCACCACGTCACAATAAGCCCTTCTCAAATTTTCCGTGATCACTGCCTTTAACTAGAAACACTGAGTAAATGCGCAGGTGCAGTTGGTCCTAATCCATTTTCACCGCTTGAATCAACTCGTTTTTCAATTACACTTTTTGAAATCATTTCTTATTTTCCGATTGCTTTCTCTTCTACAGATGTTCGCAGTAATCGAAGGGCTAGCAGATGGAGGAGTCAAAGTTGGCTTACCGCGTGATCTCGCACTGAAACTTGCAGCACATACACTTTTGGGAGCAGCTAAAATGGTGCTTGAGACAGGTTGGTGCCGGCTTCTTGGAAACTTTTGTGATATTTAGATACACAGGTAATGGCAATATAAGCCAAAAAATCGAGCATTGCTCATCAGTTTCATTGAATTTGTTTCGATAGCTGGAGTTAAAAGGCATAAGCTCAGGTGAGGCTCAAACAGTTGATTCAGTAGTGGTATGTGAACAAGTTGTTTTCACATTCAAGCAGACTGGTGCTCTACGTGTTTAACGACCCTTTTTCATTCTCCAGTTTATTTCTCACTGTCTCCATTTGCGACCCCGTTCAATCAGAAATACAACCCCCTCTCACCGAAGCAAAAGCGACACCCTGTCGAGGGATTGATCACAGTGGTTCACGTGGTATATTACTTGTTCAAAGGGGCTCGCAAGACTCCTCATCCATCTCTTGGAGTGAGTCCCCTTCACAATTGTTTGAACGAGCATTTATCTATTTATCTATCTATTTGCAAGAGAAATTGAATTAAGGTACACATCCAGCGAAATTGAAAGATGATGTTCAAAGTCCTGGTGGCTCCTCCGTGTATGGGATGCATAAGTTGGAAAGCGGAGGTCTAAAGGTGTAGCATATCTGAATCATTCAGAGTAGTGAGTGGAACTTGAACCATCCTTCATGTTCCTTTCTTCAGGGAATTTTAATGGATGCTGTCGAAGCTGCAACAAGTCGTTCCCGTGCAACCGGCGATAAAGCTCTACCTCACGATGTTCGAAATACGGAATTATAGAGGGATTCAGTCAGTGCGATAAAAGATGTATTTTTTGCAAAGGTTGACCCAGTCAGGTCTCCCAGGTGTTCTTCTGTAGTGAATATATCCTGAATCTTTAACACACTGAATCAACTTAATCTCTACGTAGGTATACATTGTGTCCTATATATTTTGCACCACATTCTGAGTCCCAATTCTGTGAGCGTCTATTTTTCATTTCTAAGGTTGAAGAACCAGCACTTCTCATGACTACTTGGGAATTTGTTAATAACCTTGCAGAGATCCAAAGCGTACCGTTCAGTCTGCATCTCATGGTGCGCCTAAACCTCAATAGAGGATTTGATCCCTTGCACAGCTAGGTCTAATATCGGGTAATAAACATAGCCCTTCGTTAAAATCTTGAGCGCGATGCGGCCTATCTAGAGAGGCTAATTGAAGAAGTATTAGTTGCAGTCGCCAGATAAGCTTTGCCATTTTTTCTGGATATTCGGAAGATTATGGAGAAGCGGATCGACCATTATAGCCGGGTAAGATTACAAAAGGTGACAGAATGGAATTTCTAGGCACGACCATGTTAAGAGTTGTCAAATAGCAAATGTTTGTAAATCATTCTAAGCCGCACAAGCGCCACGGCACAGTAAAATTGAGAAACACAACAGAGGCAAAAAGTGCGAAGAGCCTGTGCCAAGGGTCTGGCGAAGCGACTATGAGGAAGTGTTCTCATCGCAAATTTCCCCCGTGGAGTCAATCCACAACGATGTCTGCTATTTCAGATGCACAGTCAATAGGGGTTATCACTCATAAGTAAAGGGGTAAGCTTGCCAAAGGTTCCCTAGTGAGTAAGAATTGCGACTTGAGTTCCATCTGTGGATTGCTTCCTACTCCTCTCATCTGCACTGGTTGAACAGCCGCTACTGCGGTTGGGAGGTTAACCACACCCGGAAGCTCCATTGATTGGATGATATCGCTGATATCATTGTTTACATCTACCGTGCAAAAACAGTCGAGAAGTGGTATTCATTTTCACTTGACCGTAATGCAAAAGGGTGAGTCCTACTCAGGTTCTACTTCTCCTTGGTTATGTTAGTGGTCGATGACATGCGCTCACTTGACCATCATGGAGAAAAGGATGACTACTATAGCCGGGTAAGATTAAAAAAGGTGACAGAACGTTGGAGTTTCAAGGCACGACCATGTGAAGTGTTGTCAAATAGCAAATGTTTGTAAATCATTCTAAGCCGCACAAGCGCCACGGCACAGTAAAATTGAGAAACACATGAAATACCAGCGTTCTGTCACCTTTTTTAATCTGTACCCGGCTATAGTAGTCATACTTTTCATCATGAATGGTCGAAGTAGAGCGCATGTCATCGACGCTAACGTAACCAAGGAGAAGTAGAACCCTGCGTAAGAACTCACCCTTTGCATTCGGTCAGTGAAAAGAATACACACTTCTTCGACTGTTTTTGCCGAGGTAGATGTAAACCAATGATATCAGATCTATCATCCAACTATGGAGCTTCCGGTGTGGTTTACCTCCCAACCGCAGTAGCGAGTGTGTTCAAGCCAGTGACGGGATGATTCTTACTCACGTTAGGGGAACTATTGACAAGCTTCCAACGCTTTAATTATGGCTGATAACCCGTATTGACTGTGGCATTCTGAAATAGCCCGCTGGTGGATTGACTCACGGGGAAATTTGCGATGCAGAAACTTACTCATAGATCGCCTTCGCGTAGACCCTTGGCACAGGCTCTTCGCACTGTTTGCCCCCTGTTTGATTCTCAATTTCCTGTTGCCGTGGCGCTTGTGCGGCTTAGAATGATTTACAAATATTTGCGTTTGACAACACTTACTTGGTCGTGCCTTGAAACTCCAACGTTCTGTCCCGTTTTTTAATCTACGCCGGCATAGTAGTCATCCTTTTCTCACATGATGGTCAAGTTGAGCGCATGGTCATCGACCACTCAACATAACAAGGAGAAGTAGAACGTGAGTAGGACTCACCCTTTTGCATATAGGTCAAGTGAAAATGAATACCACTTCTCGACTGTTTGTGCAGCGTAGATGTAAAACAATGATATTCAGCGATATCATCACAATCAATGGAGCTTCCGGTGTGTTATACCGTCCACCGCAGTAGGCGGTTGTTCAATCAGTGAGGATGATTATTACTCACTAGGGAAAGCTTTGGCAAGCTTCCACCCTTTACTTATGCATGATAACCCGTATTGACTGTGACATCTGAAAAAGCAGCTCGCGTTGTGGAATTGACTCGGGTGGAATATTGCGAGAGAACTTACTCATAGGTCGCTTCGCAGACCTTGCACAGACTGTTCGACTTTTTTGCCCTGTGTGTTTTCTCAAATTTTACTGTGGGGCCGTGGCGCTTGTGCTGGCTTAGAATGATTATACAAATATTTGCTATTTGACAACATTCAGATGGTCGGCATGAAACCCAGCGTTTGTCAACCTTTTTGAATCTTACACGGCTATAGTAGTCATCCTTTTCTCATGCTGGTTCAGTGGCGCATGTCTCGACACGTACATACAAGGAGAAGTGAACCTGAGTAGGACTAGCCTTTTGCATTACGTGTCAGTGAAAATGACTACACTTATCGATGTTTGTGCACGGTCGATGTTAAACTGATTAGGATATCATCCAGCATATGGACTTCGTTGGTTACTCAAGAGTACGTTTTGTCACAGTG